TTTCTGTTACTGTTTTTTTACATACTTGGTTACCTTCTATTTTGTATTAGTGTCATCATAGACTCTTATTCAGAGTTGTAAAGGACTTTAAGGGGTAAAACTAGATGATTTTTCATTTTGCATGTGATAAAAATGAGGCCCGGATAGAGATTTGACTTGACCAGGGACACACCAATGCTCTTTCTCCTACTCAATCTTTCTCCAACGCAGTCTGGCTTGTCCCCATGCAGTAGCAAGCTTCTTAAAGCCATGTCCACTGTATCTAGCACATTCTAACCTGCAGACCTTCTCTCTGGAATAATTGTATACTAGAATCAAGTGCTGAATCAGGGAGCTGGCTCCAGCTGGGATTGGGTAGAGAACTGACCCTCCCATGAAATTCCAGCGCAGTCTTTGGGAATCTGAGTTCAAAAAAAACCAGAACTTTGTCAAGGGCCTGTACCCCTCTAAACTTGGAAGGGCCTGCATTGACATCAAAAGGTGCCCTGTTCTTGGCTAGAGGGCACCCAGCACAGTCTGGCATTTGGCAGGCTCTCCTGAGAGTAATAGACCATGGTGGTCTGTGGCCCACCCATTTAAGTCTGAGGCTGGTCAGCCCTTTCCAGCTTTGCCACATTGGCCCAGCCTACCCATATTCCCCATTGCTAGTAAGGCAGCCCCCTCCTTGTCGGGAGATATAAAGGACCAAGCAGCTCCTGTCTGAGAAACACCAGGAAGAATAATTAATGTGCCTCCTGAGCTATAGACTGATTGTTCTGTGAGTCAAACACAGGAACAGGTTGGCTTGATACTGTGTAAGAAGCCAATAAAGCAAGCCACAGTTCCACTGTAGCGGATAGCACATCTTTCCTAACCCAGGTTGTCTTCACCTGTGTCAGTAGTCAGGCCGGCCAATCTTATCACACCTTGAGCTGCCTCTTCTCTATTGTGGAGATATGTTCTCCTCCATCATCAGCCTGAGTTATCCAACTCCCCAGCTCAACAGTGACACTCCTATGGGTCTGGCCACTCTGGGACATAGTCGTACTCACAGCTGATGCAGTTGTGAGTCAAGTCCCCGATGCTGATGGATGCTGATGGACATGGAGAACAAGAGGATCTATTAACTCCTTACTGTGTACTTAATGCCATGTGAGATACTGTAGGGTAGCAATGGGAAGGCATCCATGAGGGGTTTAACATCTAGTTAGGCAAACACAATAAAGACCTGAATTGATTTTGTGAACAAGACAGTATTTTTTCAAGAATCACATTATATATTGATATAAGACAGTGTTAAATTATGAAATGCAGACAAGTACAGAAGGATTTAAGAGAAGAGAGAGTCACTGGCAGCGGCATCATCAAGGAAGGCTTCCTTGAGGAACTAGGATGAATCCGATATCAGTAAGAAAACATGGAAAATGACACACAGGCACAGAGATCACAATAAGGAAATTGTGTAGTGGTGAGCAGATTTACTTAGAAACCCAGTTCATTAGTATCTCAGTGTTTCACTTTAGAGGGAAGAGAGAAAAAAAAAACAACACATCATCAACAACAATTTTCCATGTAGTAGAGCTTTAAAATAAATCTGTGTTACTTTCCAGTATCCTGCTCTGAACTTTCCCTTGTAACAGAGAGAGATAGCTTACACAAAACAAATAACAGTTTAACATCTGGTGGTATATATAGCTTCTATATCATAGTTTATCTCCTCTCTGTTGATAGGAATTAAATAGATTGTGATGTCAGTCCTTGAAAATCAAGATTGGTCATTGCATTGATCTAAATTTGAATATCTTTTAATATGATTTGCCTTTACATTATGATCATTTTATTTTTTTTCCCCTGGTTTTGCTTTCTTTCTTTATTCACCCAGGTCTTTCCTCTAACTCCCTTATATTCATAATTTCTTATGACTTAGTAATACTATTTAATAGTCATATACCACAGTTCATTCATTTCTCAATGGATGGGTACCCACTTTGTTTCTTTTTTTTTTCCTTTACCACTTAAAGTGATCATATGTACACACATACATACATAGATACATACATATATATGCATATACATATGCATATACATATATACATATATATATTATATATATGTATGGATTTGAGGCAGCTAGGATATTGTTAATGTTTTGGCATCATGGATAAGGAGAATATGCATTTTACTGATAGCAGTAAATGTACCTTTGTACATTTATAGTCTGTACAGTAGAGTCTGTGTGGGTTTGCGTAGAATATATATGAGTTTGACCAATTTTATTTGGTCCTTTAAAAATAATTTTCTGCTTTTAGATTTTTAAACATAACATGTAAATCATGTGAATCTGTGAATCATGTATTACCTCTGGAGTTGAGATTCTCATTTTTAATGGATGCTGAGGTCAGTTACTTCAGTTCTCATCAGCCTTTATATAGTTGAAAAAAATGGATATATCTTTCTCTTCCCCACTGTAATCATCCAGTTGATGGTGCAAAGGGACTCTAATTGCAAGGAGTTTTCAAATCTTTTTTTTAGCCAAAGGTGACTCCCATCACCTTTTCCTGACCATCCCCCCACCCCCTTTAATGATGGTGCTTTCCTCTTTAGGATTATCTCCAATTTACTCTATCTCTTATTGATTCATAGTTGTTTACATGTTTCCCTCATTAGACTATGAGCTCTTTAAGAATGGAGACTTTTTTATGCTTTTTACCTTTATTTGTAGCTCTACTGCTTAGCATATAGTAGGGGCTTAATAAATGCTTGTTTGTTGATTTCACTATCTTGTCAGTGTCCTCAAACTGTGGTAATTTGAACAAAGGCGAATTAAAGCTTGATAGTTTTAGATTAAAAAATGTGAGACTGACTATCCAGGAAATGTTGAATTGAATTATTTGTATTTCATTGTTTATTGGTGTAGTCCCACTTATTTAGAATTTAAATTTTATGAAAACCAAAAACTAACCTCATTTATAGACATTTCCATTATCATTTCATTGTGAATTAACCTACTCTTTGGTCTGGCTAGTAGGATACATGCCACTTATAGGGAGAGCTGTCAACAATGGTCCTGCTAGCACTTGAACATCTTTAATTAACAGTGGGAAAATGGATCTGAAAAAGCTATTATTTTGGTTCCCAGAACAGGAATATGTGGGGTTTAGCTCTTCTGAGCCACACCTCATAGAATGTGTAACTGCTAAGTCATCACCACAGTGGCCATCTAATCCAGACCCTTCATTTAGAAGATGGGGAAGCTGATAGAGGTGTAGTATGGGGAATCATTTGTCTAAGACCGTACAACAAGTTATTGCAGAACAAGGACTGAAACTGAGGTCTCTTGACCCTGAGTTCTGTGCTCTTTCCATTACACCATCCTGTTTTCATTTCATTTCCTCTTCCTCTCAAGCTGCTCTCTTGCTCAATATGAATAAGCACAGAGGAAGATATTTCTCAAGGCTATGACATTCAGTACCTGTTACAGGCCCCAGAGTTCATCTCAAACACAGAGGTATCCTGGTACCTAGTTCCATAAACTGCGGGGTAGCAGAGGATACCAGTGACCTGTGAAAATTGTAGTGTCATAGAATTAGAGCTAGGAGGGTCCTTGGAGGCCATCATGTCCAATTCCCTCATTGTACAGATGGGCAAACTGAAGCTAACATAAGTTAAAGAACTTTCCTAGAATCACACAGCTAGTAAGTGTTGGAAATAGGACTAGAATTCAGGTCTTCTTAACATTAAGTACAGAGCTCTATCCACTGTGCTAGTTAGCTGCCTCAAGATGTCAAGTCTTTGGGGGCTATTTAATCACATATGTTCCAATCCAGCCTCTAGCTAGAAGACTGAAATACAGACTGATTTGTTTTTTTTTTTAAGAAAGAAAGAAAAGATGCCATCTGTGATCCATTGGGGCTGACATCACTATTTGCTCATTCTTTTTAAAAAATTATTTTTTGCTTGAACCTCTGATTTCTTTGGCATAGGGAACCTAATTGGGAAACTACATCAACCAAATTAGATTTGCAACTACTGTGTATTGTATTGTGGTAGAAAACTTTCTAGGAGTACTGAGAGATTAAGGGACTTGCCCAAGGTCATACAGCTAGTACATATTGGAGGAGAGACTTGAACTCAGGCCTTTCTGATTCTGAGTGCAGCACTCAGCCGCTGTGCCAGCTGCTTCTTCACAATTAGACATATTTTAACTTTGACATGTTGTCATCATCATTATTACCATCATCATAGCTAACATTTATATAGTGCTTACCCTATAGGCACTTTGCTTTACAATTATTATCTTATTTGAGCCTCAGAACAACCCAAAAAGGTAGGTGCTGTTATTATCCTCATTTTACAAATGAGGAACCTGAGACTAACGGGTTAAATGACTTACCCAGGGCCATGCAGCTAATAAACATCTGAGGTTAGATTTGAACTCAGGTCTTCCTGACTTCGGGTGCAGTGCTCTACACACTATTCTTAGAGATTATGCAGTCCAACTTTGTCATTTCACAGTTCTGTCCCAAAGAGGCCCAAGGATATATCCAAAGCTTTATGACTCTGATGTCTTATTTATTATATTTGAGAATAACTATTTGGAAGCTTGATGTCTGCAGACACTAGGAATGTGTCATTCTTGATAGGGCTTTTTTTAAAAGTATCTGAGGCATCTCAACATGTCCAAAACAGAACTTATTTCTGGAATTATTTTTTTTTCTCTTTGTATCCTTAGTGCCTGGAACTTATTAGGCACTCAATAAATACTTGATTGGTTATGTACCAGAACTCTTAAAACAAACAAGACTTGGATTATTTTAGATAGATATCTTTCTGTGATGGGTGATATGTGCCCTTACCTTCCTAAATAGGGGTTTAATAAACTTAATTTATGTATTTCTTGACAACTTGTGGTCATCATCTTGAAGACCTATGGGTCTGCTTTTTTTTTTTTCATTAATGGCTATTATGTTGATAGCACAATAGAAGAATGTTTACATATCTTTTCTTTGCTTTTCTTACAGTGCCTGAAACAGTATGTTGAGCTGTTGATCAAAGAAGGACTAGAAACTGCGATTAGCTGCCCAGATGCAGCTTGCCCAAAACGAGGTCATCTGCAAGAGAATGAGGCATGTTAATAATACAAATGAGTCTCTTAATGCATGAAAATTTATTCCAATTAGATTACCTGGTTGGTTTGCTCTGGCCTATATATTAGAAGCTCTTAAAAGTCATACATATTTAAATATGCTTTTGGTTTTCCTCTAGCCTTAAGCTTATTTCTGTTCTTCATGTTTTTAATTAGATTGAATGTATGGTTGCATCTGAAATTATGCAAAGATATAAAAAGCTGCAGTTTGAAAGAGGTATGTAATTGTCCTTGTACTTGCCTGCTCTACTTGCTGATTTGTTGTTGTGTTGTTGTTGTTGTTGTTGTTGTTGTTTGAGGGGGAGGGTGCAGAGGGAAATAGCAATTTTTTGAAATAAAAATGTTATTTTTCTTAAAAAGCTGAATATTAACAATAACAACATCATAAATTTATATAGTATTTTAACATTTTCTTTTTTTATAATTAATTTATTTTTAATTTTGAAAATTCATTTCCATAAGATTTTGAGTTTTAAATTTTCTCCTTCTCCTTGCCCCTCCCCAAGACTGCATGCAATCTGATATAGGCTCTACTTATATACATTCATATGAAACATATTTTCACATTAGTCATGATGTAAAGAAGAATTAGAACTAATGGGAGGAACTGTGTAATTTAACATTTTCAAAGCCCTTTCCCTACAACAACTCAATGTGATGGGTACTACAAGTATTATTTTACAGATGAGGAAACTGAGGCTTAGAAAGGTAAAGTCACCTGTCCATTGACATTAATTTCAGTTAATCCAGGCCTTCTCCAAATCCAAGGCTCTTTGGATTATATGACTTTATCTATAAAATGAACCTTTATAAATCAAATCATATTTTAAATCAACCGCAGTGAACCCACGATCTAAAGGAATCTAAAATTATTTTTGTAAAACAAATCTGTATCATAGCCATTGTCATAATAGCTAACATTTATAGAGCACATTAAAGCTTGCTAAGTGTTTTGTATCTATATTATCTCTTGTGATCATCCTTCAGTTTGTTTTGTACAGGTTAAAAAACTCACATGAGAATGAAGGGATTACATTGTATAATCTGTGATTCCATAATGCCTTTGAAGCTCTATTATTCAGTTTTTTGAGTTCTCATGGAGATTTACTGTTCTGTGGTTCTTAGGCTTCTATCAGCCCCAAGATTCTATGATCCCTAAATTGGAATTTTGATGTATTGAATAAGCTAAAGTGAAATTTATCTAGAATTATCTGCCCCTTAGAGGATATATCCTCTAGCCAAAAGATGATAGATTTAGAGAAGAAAGCAATTTTAGAGAACATCTAGTTCAATCCACTAGAGATAGGTAAAATGAGGTCCACAGAAAGTAAGTGCTTTGCTTGAGGTCATGCCAGCACAAAGAATTGGAAGTGGAATGTCTCCGATGGCCTTGTTTCTATACTGTCCAAACATTAACAAAAAGAGCACTGGAATTGGAATCAGAAGACCTAGGTTGTAATTCTGACACTCTTGCTTATCTTGGGTAAATCATTCCCTCTCTTTGGGCTTCAGTGGCCTCATATATAAATTATATAGTTGGCCTAGATTTACTCCAAGTACCTGTTTTAATTTGTGTGATCTGCTAGAAAAGGTCCCATAATCACTTGTTCTGTATAACTAGCAACCATAGATCACCAGTACAGGGCCTTAGATGGTGAGTTTTAAAATCAATCGCCCGATAACCTTAGTACCCTAAGAATTGAAATACAACATGGTTATCCTCTAAAAGACTATTTTTAAACTCTATTATATGGCACTTTCTTGACTAAAAAAAATTCAATTCTCTTTTTTCAAAACAAACAAAAAAATTGTCATATCTTGGATTTTGAACCCATCCATCATATAAGACAATGAACCGCCATCCACAATTACTTATTTACTCCAAACTTGTCTGTACAAAGATTCCCCGAGTCACTTGAAATTTCAGAAGTTCTGTTTGGTTGTGCATGTTATAAGATGTGCATACTTGATTCTTCTTCATATCCTCAGAACCTTGCCTATCTTCTTTATCTCCTATTAGTATTCAACACTGAATGGTGTTTTTAAATCAAAAAACACTTTCAAATATAAGTGGAATACATAATCAGAAAGGAAGCAAATCCCAACTCGTTCATTTGCCTGGTTAGAAGACACAGATCAGACTCTTGTGAATCTTTTTTTAAATGCTAAAGGGAACATCATTGCCTGTCACAGCTTTCTTCCAAAAACAGTGTTTTCTGCATTTTTTTCTTTTAAAAAATGGTGTTAGAATGTGCTTTTAGACGTCTATACATTTAGATGACATCTGTTTTTTTTTTGAAGTTCATCACACGCAACACTTTATATAAAGTGGCACACGCTATAAAAAGCAAATATGTTAAATATAAAATTAGTTAATCCAGATTCCAAAACATTTTAAAGCTCTTGTGCAGTCATTCCTGAGAGAGAATTTTTCACCAAAATTGCCAGACTTGGGGTTACAAGTAAATAAACTCTTCAGGTCACTGCTTTGTTAGACAAGAGGGCTGGATAATTTTTCCTGTCCAAGAATCTTTTTGAACTATTTAAAAATTAAAAAAAAAGTGAGGCCATTCACTTTAACTTAAAAGAAAACAAAGAGCTTTCCTCCTCAACACCTAAGACAAAATCACTGCTTTTTTATTTTTAAACAGTTCAATAAGCATTTATTAAGCACTTACTGTGTCTGAGCCTATGCTGCAAGTACCTGAGGTTACAAAGATTTAAAAAAATGTAGTTCCTGTCCTCTACAAGTTTATGTCCTGAGGTGGGGGATGGGGAGGGGGAAGCACACCATAGATAAATACAAAATATTGGCAGTGATTATCTCTTCAATTTATCTTGTGTATATCTTGTTTGTATATAATAGTTATCATGTTGCCTACTCCATTAGGACTGGTTTTCTTCTTTCTTTTTTAAAACATTAAAACTATTTCTAGCTGTCTAAATGTCATTTTATTAAAAGCTAATAAATTCAGAATTCATCAAACCAAAAGGCAAGCTAACCAGGTTAAAAAAACAAAACAAAACCCTGAATTCCTAGGAATATTTAAAAGAAATTCAGCTTGGTTACTTTTTAAAACCAGGTGAAGAGCTCTCATTAGAACATCAAAGTTTTAGAAGGTAAAGATCCCTAGGAACCTTGTTTTAATAAATAAATGAATATTATTCGTAATTACCTTACCAGTAATTTATTTTTCCTTTCCTTTTTCCCTTTATTCCCCTTCCCTTTCCCCTTCCCCTTCCCTTTCCCCTCTTTTCCTTTCCCTTTTTTCCCTTTCCTTTCCTTTCTTTTCTTTTATTGGTAGCTCTTTCTCAACTGTTATTTTCCACCAAAGATTAGGCCTAAGCCCTGAAATCTTATTTTACAACTCTCAATTTGCTTAGAAAATTATCCTACCTAATAAGGCCTGACTTTTTATAAGTTGAGAATCCTTGAGTTATGTCTTAAAAATCTTATCATTGAATGCTGCCCACCTCCTCATAGAGAAATGATGGATTCAGAGCACACATTGAAATTATTTTCTTTGTTTTCCTTTTTGGACATGGCCTATGTGACAATTTGTTTTGCTTGACTATACATATTTGTAACAGGAGTTTTGTTTTTTCTTGTGTCACTGGAGCGTGAGAGAGAGAAAGAGAGAGAATGTGGACCTTAGTAAAAATAAGACAAAATGGAATTTTAAAAAATGTCCTTGTTAGGATACAAGAAGATTCAGTCAGACATCTGAAATCTTGCTTGGTTAAAAACAACTGGGCCAGAGCTTCCAATATTACCAACATGAAATTGGTGAATTTTGCCTAATGTGTCCTTTTTGATTCAGTCCTGCATTGTATGTGCAGTGTGACCCACTGAAGCCTGGGGAATGTGTGAAAATGTTAGTGGAATTCATAACCCAGAGGCCACAAGCAATATGTTCACGATGTTAAGTGCCTCCTGGAGATGAAGCCAGTGTGGCAGGTGAACTGGACTAGAATCCCTTTCTCTCTCTATGTCTCCCAATGAGAATCTGGCCCACCAGGCATAAGGCAGCAAGCCCAGTGTTACCATTGTAGAAACACAAGAAGTCAGAAAATTAAATTAGTTTCCATGGGAACTTCAGCTATGTCTCCTTTCCTTCACAATCCCATTGATAATAGGGCCTGTCATTATGTGATAGCATAATGAACAATGCTATCTATTTTGGCTAGTTCTTTGTTCCTGTTGAAAGACGCTGGACTAACATATCCCTGTGTAATACACACACTCAAGGAAATACAAGCTGGGCTGAAAAAACAAAAAAACAAACAAACAAAGAAGAAACGTGGTCCACTCATGTTCTCTGGGGCATTGGAAATTGAATGGAAAATGGAATGGATTTGAAATAGTAGCCCTAGGTCCAATTTATGGTTCTGCTGCTTTTTACTGGTGTGATCCTGGGCAAATCACCTGATTAGACCTCAGTTTCCTCATGTGTAAAATGAGGGAGTCATTTTAGTTATCTTCTAAGGTCTTTTGCAGCACTGTGATAATATTTCTAAGTTAGTTCTAGAGGCTAAAGTGGGGAGTCAGTCATGGGAAACGGTGTGACATTATCCTATTTCTGACTCACTTGATTCTGTCTCCTGATGGTGAAGTTTTGTCCTTTAAAGATATGATCCTGGACTAAACATAGGGACAGGAAAAGAGGAGTAAGAGAATTCATGGAAGGGGAAAGCTGAATGTCAGATCTAGGTGGGACCTTAGCAGTTAGTTAGCTGATGAGAAAATGGAAGCTTAGAAAGTGACAGACTCAGCCAAGGTCACTCAAATCCTAAGTACCAGAGCCAGGATTTGAACCCAAGTCTTCTGATTCTGTGGACTTTCTTTTATGCCACTCTGCCTCCCAAGAGCCATCCTGTTTCTCCTGGCACTTCTCTCTGGGGTGTCTGAGATTTGTGGCTATCAAGAACTGGTGGGAGGTAGAAATGAACATAATTTTGCAGTTGCTTTTAGTTCAGGCCATTCATTCTATTTCCCTGGAATCTAGCAGTCATGTCCATAAAGGGATACAGGGTTACTTTTAGACAGAATTGTCAAATTTTATTTAAAATTTCTCTGTAGTGCTCTTTTGCTCTGACTTTCCAATGCCAACCTAAAGTCAATTTGTCAAAGAGCCAAGAAGGTATTCAGAGATTACCTAGGCCAACGCCATCATCTTATACATGAGAAAATTAAGCCTTAGACAAGTGGTGGCTTGGCCAAGGTCATAACAAGGTGAGAAGGAATAGAAGGAATAGAATTAGGATTCAGACTCTAAAACCCACTACTCTTTCCAACTACTTCATGTTGCTGAATAATTAGGGCTTTTCAAGGTGGCAGTGTTTTTTAGCCTATGCATTTCCAATCTGTAGAGATGTCATGGAGTAGCAGAAAGGACATTGGAAGTCTGAAGACCTAAGTTCAAATCCCCATTAACTATTTGTGTGATCATGGGAAAGTCACTCCTCGTCCTTGGTTTCCTTCTATGTAGAATGAAAGGTTTACACTCAGTTATCTCTAATACTCACTTCGGCTCCAAATCCTGTGACCTTATAACAGTACTTCTTTTTCTCCATTACTTTCTACCCTCCACCTTCATTACCTTTGTTGCATCTGATTTTCTCATGGGCCCTGCTCTCAACCAGGCTTCCATGACTTGAGAAAAATTAAATTAGTGCTTGAAAAATTAAATGAAGGGCTTTAGGTGAAGGGCTCAGTCCCCTAATTTAAGATTCAGATTCCCCTCTACCCCCAGTTTTTTAAGGAAATAAAAGTGGAAGGATGGGGAAGGGGAGGAAGGGAGCCTGTTCTCTTACCCCAATATTTATAAGACTTTAATCAAGTTGATAACAGGGCTCAGAAGTGGGAAAGTTGTATTTATCTTAAAAAGTGCAGTTTTGGAATAAAACTTGGGAGTGGAGTAGAGCAGCCTCTAAATACCATTCTGTAGATTTGGGTCATTGTTTTAAATTAAGTATAAACCTTCAGCTCCAATAATCTTTGCAGTCATGTGATGTTGATACTCAAGAGACAGTTTTTTTGTTTTTTTTTTTTGTTCCCCTCTGCCAAATTAGTCCATGATTGAAATGAAAATTTTAGGACAAGAAGGGTAATGTAGCCACCAGTCATTTGAATGATTTGATTCATGGTATATCAGTGCTAATAATTTTCAGAAAGGAATCTTTCCTCTGTCCACCCTTCTCCTGTTGAGATCTTTTCCCATCCTTTAAGGAGTAGCATAAATGTCATCTCAACCATAGCCTGCTATTTCTACTTCTCATGTGTACTTAGCCTATGTTATTTGGTATTATCGTTATTTGTCTGCTTCAGAATCCTCTCCTTCTACTACACTAAACTCTGTGAGGGCAAGAATTCTATATTATTTACTTCTCTGCCAATACGTAACACAGCGGTTCCCTGAACCCAAAGAGTGATCAATTCCAACCTGGAAATAGGTCCTTCAGTACTATGTGCTCTGTTAATTGTTTGTTGGATTGAAGGTAGAGTGTCCTGTAATTCTAACTGGATGTTTCACATTCCTACACTAGAAGTACTGCTGGATCCCTGCCGGACATGGTGCCCATCTTCTTCTTGCCAGGCTGTTTGCCAGCTTCAAGATATGGGGCCGCAAACGCCACAGCTGGTGCAGTGTAAGGCATGCAACATGGAATTCTGTTCTTCTTGCAAAGCCAATTGGCATCCTGGGCAAGGCTGCCAAGAAACAATGCCAGTCACCTTCCTCCCCGGAGAAACAAGGTAGCCTCTTTTTACAGGATGCTTCTGGCTTATACCAGTCATGTGAGGCTCTAGCAAGGAGGGTGGGTCAGAAGGCTTCTGTCTTCCCCTAGGAGAAGGGTGTTTAGGACATGAGGAACGTCTTGGAGGTATTTGCCACATGACACAACACATCCCCTGAGTTACTTGGTTCGTTGTAACTTCTATCTGTAGTGAGGGGGGAGAGAGAATGCGACACCTTATTCATCAAAATATGCCGCCTCACTCACACTAGACTGCAGTTCCAGGTCTCAGAAAGATAGTCCAAAACATGGCCAAAGTACTGTGTTCTAGCCCAGTGTGGGCCTTAGAATCAGAAAATTTACATTCAAGCCGTACCTCTCCCACTAACTTCCTGTGTGATCTTCAGAAAGTTAGGTCACTTCTCTGAATTTGCTCAGTGACATTGGTTTAGTGAGCCTAGAGTCAGAAAGATCTGAATTCAGTCTGTCCTCAGACACTATCTTTATGACGCTGGGCAAATCATGTAACCTCCGTCTGCCTCAGTTTCCTCAACTAAAAATGGTGATAAAATAGCACTTACTTCCAAAGGTTGTTGTGAGGATGAAATGGCACATTAAATGTTCTCTTTTCTTCTCTTCTGTTCCCTTCCCTTCCCTTCCCTTCCCTAATTACAGTTATGATGATGATGAGGATGATGATGGTGATGATAGCTAATATTTATAAATTGCTTTAAGATTTGCAAAGTACTTTACATATGCAGAGTATCCCAAAAAGTCTTTTTTTTAAGCTCTGATAGCTTAAAACAGTATTGAGACTTCTGAGATACCCAGTATGTTCTGATTTGATCCTCACAATAATCCTGTGAGGTAGGTGTATGGTAGATGAAAAAACTGAGGCTCAGAGAGGCTAAGTGTCTTTCTTGCCAAGGGGTATCAGTCCTCTCAGTCAGGATTTGGCCTTAGTTCTTCCTAAGTACTAACCCAGACTCTATTTACACTCTCTTTCTAAAATCATAATCATCTATGAGATGGTGGTAATAATACACTATGTACCCTTGGGGGTTGTTGTGAAGTGTGAATAAATAGAAGTAAAGACCTTGATGAAATGTAAAATTTTATTTTAAATTTCAAGGCATTAATAATAGTAATTCTGATGATAATAAATTCTGATGTGTGTTTCTTTATCCCAAGGCCTGATAGAATAGGGTCAAACATCACATTTCCCTATGTGTTGAGGGTCCTTTAGATCGTAGTCCTAGACAAAGCCCTTTATAACCAGGTCTATAGAGAAATAAATTAATTGTGAAAGTTAGAGGGAAATAAAGAGATTTAAGATCACTGAGTAGATGATGAAAAAACAAAACAAAATCTAGCTGCCCTTGATGAAATCCAATTACCAGGCCCAGGTGAACCACATCCTAGAATACTGAAAGAATTGGCAGATGGGATTACTGAACCACTATTACTGACCTTTGAAAGAATGGGTAGAACAGATTGAACAGTCCTGGAAAAGAGCAAATATCCAGATTTTCCAGAAAAGAAAGAAGGTTATTTTTCAAATTATAGGCTAATAGCCTTGACTTTGATTCTTGGCAAATTTTTGAATGGAGTATTAAAGGGTCGGTTTATGAGAATTAAGAAAAAGGTAAACACCTCTAAAACACAATAGGCTTCATTAAGAATAAGCAATGCTGGAGTCTCGCTCTTTTCTGATCTGACAGGGCAGCTAGGTGAACAGATCAAGATATTGCCATAGACATGGCTTATCAGAATCTCAGTAAGGCATTTGATAGTTTCCAATAATATCCTTGTGGACAAGATAGAGATATTTGGGATAGATGGTAGTAAAGTAGACTCACAACTGGTGGGAAGATTGGACCCAAATAATAGGATACATGATCTCCCTTGGCATGCCCTACAGTGGTATCTTTGACCCTTTCTTGTTTGACAGATTTATCTGTAACTTAGAGGAAAGCAAAGATATGTTATGCTTATCATTTTTAGGCCTTATGGAGCTAAGGACAGTGTTATTTATTGAATGACAAATCCATAAATCTCACATCACATTAGAATAATGGGCCTAATCTATTAAAATGAAATTTAAAAGGGAAAAAATACCATGTCTTGCATTTGTCTTCAAGAAATCTGCTTTATCTTCCCTACAGGATAGGAAGCGACCATTTGTGTGAAAAAGAAATGGAGGGGTTAGGGAATTGCTGCTACAGGCTTATTGACACACTGATCTCAATCATTCTCCAAGCTCAGCGTATACTGACATCTCCCTGGGTTTTCTTTTCTCCCTCAGACACTACTAGGGATGCAGAACTGTGCCATGCAGATGTAGCATCTGTTAGCACTCCCTCCTCATCACTCCCCAAATCAGTCCATGGGATAGCACTCACTTTCAGAGCCTCACACTCTCTGTACTTGAAACACCAACAGAGTGTCAGCCTGCTCCTAGCCCCAGGATCCACTTTCAATTTTCCCACTAATCAAAATTTGCCCTAGGGTCAAAGCAGACTTCCTAATGATCCATAGTCAGACTCATGAACAAACGGCTGAGAATCCATAACCAGATATGCCCACAAACCATTTACAGTTCTTTATAACCTTCAAATGAGATAGTATTTATAAAGTGCTGAACATAGTGCCTGGAATATAGTTGGCACTTTACAAATGCTTATCCTCTCCACGCCCACCTTACCTCTCATTCACTGACTCATTCCATCACTCTTCGTCAATTCAATTTCTCCAGCTACAGCATTAGCTCTAGCTCTATCCATGGACTGTTTTCTGCATACTCTGTTACAGTCAATTGAATTCTTTCATCAGAACTACCCAAGGAATGTAAATTGTATCTACTCCTCACGTTAAAGAATGATCACTGGCCCCAAAGGGACCAGAGAATGTGTGGCCATAATAATAGCACTTTAAAGTTTGTGAAGGACTTCATTAATATTGTCCCATTTGATCCTCATAAAAACCTGTGAGGTAGGTGCTATTATCATTCTCATTGTATAGATACAGTGGTTTAGTGATTTGGACAAGATCACACAGCCAGTATATGTCTGACGCTGGATTCACACTCAGGTCTTCCTGACTTGTGTTTTGTCCACTGTACCATCTAGCTATCTAACATAGCGAATAGCTATAGGTGTCTGTCGTCCTGTACTGCTTTCTCCATACAAATAAATGCCTGGCTTTCACTTTGAGCATTCCCAGGATCTACACACCATGTGGCAGCCAAGAAAACTAATGTGATCTTAGGCTGCATTTAGGGAAATGTAAAGCCTAAAACAAGGGAAGGGATAGGTACTACTCTGCTCTGCCCTAGTTGCACAACATCTAGAGTGTGGCCCTGAGTTCTTGCTAATTAGGAGGCACATTTATAAGCTATTATATATCTAGATGTTATAGCCAGGATGATGACCATGTCTTATGAAGGACAGTTGGAGGACACGGTGATGTTTAGTCTGGAGAAATGAAAACTTAGTTTAGTTATGGGGGCAGAGAAGAGTGCAGAAAAGGAAGATAGCTGTACTCAAATATTCATAGCCCTCTCATATAGCAGAAGGGTTAGATTTGTTGTCCTTGTGTCTAGGCAGATGAATTTAGGGCAGTGGTATAAATTTGCAGAGTTTGATTTCAGCTTGATATGAGGGAAATTTTCCTGAAAGTTAGACCTATCCAAAAGAGTAATAGGCCTCCTTATGGAGTGCTGAGCCCTCCCTCAAAGAAGGTCTTTTAATGGACATTGAAACTGATCTTATAGGTGATATTTTCTAGGGAATTCCAGCATACTGGACCATATGATCTCTGAGATCCCTTCCAACTATGGTAAATTTCATTTAAATATTAATATATAGGATCATAGAACTTGAAGGAACCTTAGAGACCCATCTAGTGTGACTTCTTCATTTTATAGATTTTAAAAAATGAGGCTCAGGCAAGTTAGGTGACTTGCTTAAAGTCATACAGGTCCAAAGCAGTAAGAAAGGGTGGACCTCATGTCCTTTTACTCCAAAGCTAGTATCCTTTCTAATTAACTGTATAATTGTGCTCCTTCCCTTTCAGTGTAGGTGACTCATGTCTCTATTAATACTGTCATTTACAGAATCTTGAATTATAAAGACTCAAGGAACTTCCTAAGGTTACCTGTTTTAGTTCGTTTCCTTTGGAGTTATGGTGGTATTATCCCCATTTTACAGATATGACTCCAAGAAATGAAGTAATTTGCTCCTGCATCTAGGTCAAAGGTGGAGGCAGGGCTGGAAGCCTGAACTCCTTGTTGCTTCTTGTTAAGTTTTCTTTCCGTTCCTCCATGTTGCTTCTCATTATGATTTCTCACAAATACATGTTGATAGGTGAACTGGAGAGAATACGAAGTAGCCTTAGTAAGACCTTATCCTGTTTAACTTTTCCATAGGATTTTCTTACAAGGTGATTGTGGACAGTCTCCCCAGGTGTCTACTTTGGAGAATGTTGGATGGCAAAGTGTTTGTGTGTATATGTTTGATATTAACATTAGAAAGACCATGGGATTTGTAGTCTAAGGATCTGGCTTCAGATACTGCTTTATAACCCATGGGATTTCATACAAGTCACTTAACCTTTCTAGCCTCGACTTCCCCATCTATAAAAATACAGTTTGGACTAGATAATCTCTAAGGTTGCTTTCCCCTCTTAACTATAAGTGCCTAAGAACCACATAGTCATACCTCATATGCTTCCAGGTATTATTCCATCTTACGTAATCAGCCCTGGGGAGGTGAGTGGCTTCTTGTAAATACAGTGCTTTAAACAGGAAAAAGAAGAAAAAAAAACATTCTGGAATTTATATTAAGGAAACTGGTATTGCTGAAGATGTAGAATGCTAATGAGTAAAGAGTAAGATTGAGATGCCAATGCAGAGTAAAACTAACAAAGTGTCTCCCACAGCTCATCTTTCAAAATAGACGAGGAAGACGCACCAATCAAACGCTGCCCAAAGTGCCGAGTGTACATTGAACGGGATGAAGGCTGTGCCCAAATGATGTGCAAAAACTGCAAACATGCATTCTGCTGGTACTGCCTGGAGTCCTTAGATGTGAGTATGCCCCACCCCACAGTCTTGGAACTTGGCTACTTAGCCTTGGTTTCCATAGTCATCACTGAATGAAGACAAGTGCAATGATACCATGAATAGCTTTTTTATTTCAAGGTAGTGGATTGAGGAGGAAGGAGGTAACATTTTCGTTACCAGTACCTAGTTTTTTGGGGGCTTTTTGGTGTTGTTGTTGTTGTTGTTTTGTTTTTGAGGCATGGTGAAATTGATGAAATGGGACAGACTTTCTTTTTTTTAAAGACCTCTAACCCACTCCTTTCATTGAGGATTTAATGTGTAAGACATCAGGCCTACAAAAAAAAATACAAGATACAATACTTTCCCTCTAGGATCTGATAGTTAGTGTACATGAAACTGTCAAATAACCATTGAATGATTCAAATAATCTTTTAGTCATCCTTGAAATAACAGTTCATATATGCAAGAGAACAGATGCCGTAAGCCAATACATGATTAATAGGCAAATGAGACACTGATTAGTTTTGGAGTTTAGAAGAAAGAGCAGAGCAGAGAGAGAGAGAGAGAGAAAGAGAGAGCGCACAATGTGGGCTGCTCTGGTTAGGGAAAGCTTTATGGATAAGGAGGAATTTGGCCCAGAATACTCTTTGGAATATTTATATAGGTAAATGAACTATAATATAGGATCGGAGGATTCCATTTAAGGCCGATGGACTATAATGCAGGATCCTAGAAATTAGAGTCAAAAGGACCTTAAAGATAGTCTAGTGCTATTTTCTTAATATACTGATGGGAAATTGAGGCCAAGAGAGGGGTGACTTATCCAAACTCACACAGATAGAGTAAGAGCTTTGAGGTGAAGCAGCTTAATTTTGGGGGGGTAGATAGTTTGGATGGATAAAAACCCATTTATCCAAAGTCAAAAAATTTGGAACTGGAAAGGACCTGAGATGTCATTTGGTTCAGTTCCTTCAAATTATACATGAAGAAATTAAATTAAAAGACAGAAAGCACTGTGCCTATGGTCACATTGACCCAATTAGCCAGAATTTGTATTAATCTTTTGTGGTGAGAATGATAATCAGTCATGACTCTGTAGTGCCATAGACTATTAAAATGCCTTCTGAATCTTCAAATTGATCTATGTTTAGTTAAATATTTTCTAGTGTATTCTATTTTATAAAATTTAAATCAATAAGCATGTATTGAATGCTAGCAGTATGTGGAGTACTGTGCTAGGCACTGACTGACAGAAAGTTTAGATAAGGTACAGGAAGATATGAACTCAGGTCTTATAACTCCAGATCTAGTATATTTAGATGGGCAGCTGGGTATCATAGTAGATGGAATGTCAAGTCCAGAGTCAGGAAGAATCATCTTTGTGAGTTCAAATCTTACCTCAGATACTTAATAGCTGTGGAACCCTGTTTTCCTCAGTTTCCCCATCTGTAAAATTAGCTGAAGGAAATGACAAACTAGTATCTTTGTGAAGAAAACCCCAAATGGGGTCATGGAGAGTCAGATATGACTGACATGACTGAACAGCATTAAGTATGTTCAGTCCCTACCCTCATAAAACCTACACCTACTTAAAAAGATTAGGACCAACGTAAAAATAACTTTAATCATAGGACTATTATTCTTGAGGGATCTCAGAGGCATTCTTGAGCCAAGAGGAATCTCAGAGGTCATCTAGCCTAACCCTGTTTTACATATGAGTGTGTGGGATGAGGACTACCAAAATCAAGAGTTTGAAGTCTGAATCCGAGATCAGAAAAGGTCTTTATTCTTTCTCCTGAGAAAGGTCACGGCCCTAGTCCCTTAATCAGTGGCAGCCAGGTAGTGCGCCTGCTGTCTGTGAGAAGCAAAGTTTTATAGCCCTAACGCGTGCCCCCTCCCACTCTCTTACCTCTTTTCCCCATTGGCTGGGTACTCAAGGCATACAATCTAATACCCAATAGAAGCAAACATACCCATATTTGGGAGCTACATGCATGCCTGTGCCAGGAGGCAGAAGCAACCAGGAACTGCCTGTGCTGACGTGGATTTGGAGACAGGGAAGCTTAACTCAGGGTTTTCTAGAAGGATGAAACTTAGGCCTGAGGGAACTGCACTTTAAGCCATCTCTCACATGAGGGAACTCTGACCCAGGTACTTTCCCATGGTACCCAGCAATAGTTTCCCATCGAGAAGTGATTTGTACCAAGGTTATCTGACTCCAAAGCCATGACTTTTCCCATTGTGTCATGCTGATAAGTGCACCAAAGAGAGGTAAACCAAATGCCCTACTGAGTCTATAGAGGGAAATTATTTCCTGGGACAGTCATGGAAAGGTTCATAGAGAAGTTGGCATTTCAGCCAGTTTTTTTAAAGGATCTATTACACTGAGAGGTCATGTTGCTTAGTGGAGAGTCCGCTTTAGAACCAAAACAACATGCGTTGAAGTCAACTTTCACACACACACAGGCTTTTGTGACCCTGGACATTCTCTTAGTGCAGTACAAACTCTCTTAGTTTGGAGTTGGCAGAAGAAGGTGCTGACTTACACTGGGGATGGCACTTTAGTGATTTGTGAGTTCTCTTCATCAATCAAATCACTTCCTATACTCTTAAAGGATGCTTAGGAATGCAGCAGGCAGATCATGCAAGAGGACATTCTAGCATAGGGTGGAGGCTTAGAGTCATTCATTGTGCATGGTGCTGGAAAACAAAGACAAAATTAAAAGTATTCTCTGCCCTCAAGGAATTTACTTTCTCTTTGGGAGCTGGGAGATGAGAAGACTTGTACGCAGATAAGTACATAATACAAAGGAATTTAAGGGGGCAGCGATCAGGAAAGGAATTATGTAAGTGGTAATACTTGAGCCAGGCCTTTAATAAATCTAAGGATTCCATGAGATGGGGGATGGGGGTACATTTCAGGCCTAGGAGAGATGGCCTGTACAAAGGCACAACCTGTGCAAAGGAGGTATGTTGAGTAAGCCATTTTGAATGCCATGTTGCGTGTGTATGGATAGTAACAAGAAGTCTGTCTAAACAGTTATTGGAGCAAGATTGTAAAGCAGAAAACTCTGATTTGGTCAGAGTAATAAAATACATGGACGAAAATAACATGATAAAGTGGCATCAAATTGTGGAGTTCCTTGAATGTCAAACATTTGAACTTTATTTGGTAAGAAATGAGGAATCCTTGAAAGATTTTGAGTGGAGGAGTGATAGGATCAGACAGGGAAAATAATATGATATGATATGATATGATATGATATAATATGTAATATTGTATGTTATGATAATATAAAGGTTGGATTTGGCAGGTAGAAAAGGAAATGGGAGGTTAATTCTGGTATAGTATATAAGGTAGTTATTTTATTTTTTATGATTTTGTTCATTGTATGATACAGAAAGGCACTTCATCTATAACTGATGACCTGTGTTGTCTGTGGCGTTGAGAGGTTTAGTGTCTTGCCTATGGTCACACAGTTAATGAAAGAAGAAAGACTCAGATCTGTAGTAGATCTTACTGACCCCAAGGCTCTCAATCCACTGTGCCTCAGTACTCCTCTAGGTAACCATATTAATCAAGATATTTAGTTGACCAGACTATCCAGTTCCCTCTCTCTTATCTTAAAAATAAGCAGTAGTTAGCTATACTTTGTTAATGGCATATGGGCTCCTCGCATAAGTTGTAAGTCCCTGTTCATGCAGGTGCTACTTGTCTAATGGCTAAATTATCTATAGGTTTATTTATTTTTCTACCTTTGCCAGCTTTCCACTATTATCAACTCATTAGAACTTCACCCAAAGTTGTCAGGGAAAGGGATGTGAATTGAACTGATTTGCTTTATCTTGGCAACTTTGTCCAAAAATTCCAAAGGGGAGAAGTTTGAAATAGACTAAAAGTCACATAGAACATCTATAGATTTCATGTATTCCTTCTCCTCCCCCTTCTACTATGCTGAATTGTCTAGCTCAGCGGTGCAGTGTCAAACTCAGGTTGTATATAAGGATCCCTGGCAGCCACATGTTGACTTAGAAAACCGTACCTAAAAAATCAAAACAAGAATAAAGAAAGAATAAAAAAGAAAACCAGACACACACACACACACACACACACACACACACACACAGATGTGTGTGTGTGTATTTTAATACACCAACACATTAACATCAGATACATCAAATAGGAGCTGCATTTTAATCTGGTTTGGGGCTGAACTTGTGAATGTTGTAAGCCACATGTTTGCTATCTCTACAGTTGGCTGTAAATGGGCAGGTGGCTGCTCTGGTTCTACATATTTTCATTTTCCCTCCGGAATGACCCAATTATATAGTGACAATGTCTGCATGCTCTCTGCTGCTCTAAAAGAATACTATCTGACAGACCTTGCAAACCAGCATTCAAATATTTGTTTAAAAAAATTGCAAAGACCTTTCAATGGCTTTGGTTTAAGCCTGAATTAATGCTAGTTAAGGAGAGGAGCAAAAACTACCAAGCTTTGATGACAGAATATTTTCTATTTAGCATTTTCAATCAATGTGCTGTTGAGGAGGCAATACAGAAAAGGAAAGACTATTTTAATTTGGTTGCCATAGAAAACAGATTCTAAAGCAAAAATATTTAGCTTTTATGTTTGGTTATTAGAGACATTCACATCAATTGAATACTAATTATTAAATTGTGAGGCACTAGACCAAGAATGCTCTTAAAAAGGCATATGAGAGTGTTTCGTTAGGCAATTGAATTTTGCTTGCCTATAATAGTCTGTGGAGAGAGAGAAAACCTCTTACTAATAGGTGCATCATATATTGTTTTTTGATTGAAAAATCATACATGATTTAAGACAGTTTCTCTCTGGTCATTTGCTTTGGCTTAGCATTCAAGGCTTTCCGTAATCTGGCTCCAGCCTATTTCTCCAACCCTATCTGCAATAGCTCCCCCATAAAAAATAAATAAATAAATAACATTTACATAGTACTTTAAGAGTTGAAAAGAGATAGATGTACGTGCATACATACATAAATAT